AGCCGGGGCGGGCCGCGGGCTGCCGGGGGCAGCCTGTGGGGGGGGCACGGAGGTGGCCATGTGGGTGCGCTTTGTTAGACTTGTCCTTGCAGAGCTCCTGGAAGGGGCACTGTCAGTGTGGGTACAGACTCCTGCCATGGGCCAGAGCACATCGTCTGCCCAGTGAGGCATGCTGAACGTTACGGTGTGAGATTTAAGGCCTAAAAAAACAGGCAGAAGCCTGTGGATGAAGAGCGTGAGAGGAGGAAAAAAGCACCGCGAATAGGATAGCTAAACCCAAATCCAGTGCAAGAATGGAAGGAGGAGTTGGGTCTCAACGTGGGAGGTGGTTTCAGACAACCGCAGCAGAACTCGCTCTCTCGCTGAAGGTGAGACAAGTTACACTCCTGCCAGAAATAGCAGCTATGAAATAGTAGCTGATATTAATTAAAACAATTGTGTAGGAGTTCAAACTGTTGACCCCAGAGAGAAACATCCTGAGAATGCTGGCCTCTAACCTGCAGCCTGGAAGCAGAGGAAGCAAGAAGCTTCATACCGCGGTGTGGTAGAGTACTTCAGAATGCCAGGCATGCTGCACGGGACCTGTGTATTGGGGCCACTGCTGAGCTAGAGGTAACTAATAGAATAAAGCTGATGTTGGGATCTCAATGGGTCATCTCCCATCATGTCCCAAAGTACACACTTTTCATTATTTGAGGAATTTCCGATCCCTGTTATCCCCACCATTATATAGTCTTTCCTATATGTTGGCTTGCCCTTAAACAGCAGGCTGGGAAAAGCAATAGCCTCTTACGCTGCCCTTCCAGCTCTTACACTGTTAGATCAACAACCCAGTGACTTCCAGCTGAACTGTGGATCCAGCCGGAATGAATGGAATTCAAAATAAAACAGGTACAGCTCTTTAAAAGAGTAGTAGTGTAGAGCTTGTGAGAAACGAGCACTTTAGCATAGAATCATAGAATCGCTTCGGTTGGAAAAGACCTTTAAGATCATCGAGTCCAACTGTAAACCTAACTCTGCCAAGTCCACCACTACACCATGTCCCTAAGTGCCACATCTACCCGTCTTTTAAATACTTCCAGGGATGGTGACTCAACCACTTCCCTGGGCAGCCTGTTCCAATGTTTGACAACCCTTTCGGTGAAGAAATTTTTCCTAATATCCAATCTAAACCTTCCCTGGCACAACTTGAGGCTGTTTCCTCTTGTCCTATCGCATCTTGTAAAAGGACACCAAAAAGTAATTGTAAAGATTTTATTGTGAAAGTGGGACATATACTTCCTCTGTTGGATCTAGGAGGGAAGGTATTAACTATTCCTGTCAATAACTGCTAATATTAAAATGAAGACATGTAATGATGATGCATTGGGATGATGGTTAAAACAGGAATTGGAAGAGTTAGGAAAAATCATGGGTAACAGGCAAACTCTATCTATAGATCTATAGGTCATGCAGAGCTACAATGTGGTGCCTCAGGAAGAGGCTTAGGAGCAGTGCAAAGTCAGCAGCCCATGGCTTTTGCCAGTGGAGCAGTGACAGACATGAAAATGAGATATTTGTGCTCGGTGTAACAAAACAATTCCATCGATTCACCTTTGGCATGAGGTAGATGTGCTGTCTGATCATAAACCATTAGCTGTCGCAGCTGGCTCTCCGTTCTCAAGCCACATGTGCTGAGACTGTAGCGCTGTGATGTCCAACAAAGCCACGGCAGACGGCGGAGACGAAGAGCTGGGCATGGCTTCCAGAGCTCAAGACAGATGGCTCGGTGGAACAGAAGTCTACAGCTCATGCTGGAATACTTTTATATCTCTGGTGGGAGGCTCCAGGCAACCTAACAGAACCCCAAATACAGCAGGATGTTGCAGGAATATGCTTTATATTCCCAGTTTGGTCATCTCTTAAAAGAAAATTAGTTTCTTTTCAGATGAGGGGTACCTTTCTTCTCCAGGTGTACCTTCCTTCTTCAGGTGAGACATGAACTGAATGTCAAAATCACTTTTTCTTTAAAGGATAATAAGTGGTAATCTTAGCAAGTAGAAGAACTTACGTAAGGATTGGGTTCATAATTTGCACCTAGCTGCATGCCTGAGAGGAAGAATGGGTATTTCCTGCCAAAATAGCTGAGACCTGTCAGATGGTAGCTTTTCATCTAAAGAGAGTAGATGCAGCTTCACCCATGAGCTTGCTCGCAGATGAGGAGGAGTGATTGCAAATTATGCAGTTGAGAATGGACCATAGAAAATAGGCTGACATTTTTTTATCCGGCTTTATACCCCTGCAGTCTTTTGATCAAGGAACTTTCTTTCAGAGTCACTTTGTGAGCCTTCTGTGGAATAAAGCTGTACTTTGAGAGATGGGGCTCAGAGTGTTTGAATGAAATATCAGTAATTTTTCATCTGGAGGGACGGCAGCTGCCCCACAAGACTGGAACTGTACGAGGCGCAGTGTATTT